ATACACTTTTATATTTATATATATGTATATATATACTTTTATATTTATATATAAATATATATATATATACATATATATATATATTTATATATATGTGTGTGTCTTAACTGATCATAAAATTGTGCTAAATTATATTAAACATATATATATGTATATTAGAGATCCAGTCTCTGTCTCAGGCCTTGTAAAACTTTTCAAGAGAGACAGCGACCAATGACAGAACAGTATGGAGACAAACAGAACTCCTATTGGCCGGTATGTCGAGCGTAACATGCACCAAAAAGCTTTGAAGGTCAAAAAGCCATAGTTTGTCACTAGATTGCACTGGTTCCCAATGTGCCCCTCTGGGGAGTCAAATTGATTTCAATTTCAGGATTTGTTTTGGGGAGGGGGTCGGGGGGGGGGATTCCACTGACCTAAAAATGTATTTCTCTTTTTCCCATTTGGATAAACGTATTGTAGGAATTACAGTTGTATAGATAAAGTTTAGTGCAGACTTTAGCAACCTTTAGCTTTGAACAACAGGCACTAGACACAGGCGCACCTACAAAATGAATTTCAGCATGCCTATCACTTATAATATATCATATAATAAATAGTTTCTCACTATATAGCTAATTAAACTCATTCCATGTTGGTTCACAGTCAAAAAACTCTACATATATTATTTATATATATTATATTTCTAGTGGCGCTTTGGCCAAGAGGCAATGTCTCTGTCATTGGTGTGGAACCCCAGGGTTCACCTTCTGGGCAAGTTCAAATCCCGGTTAGGGAGGTTGGTACCTTCCAGTGGACTCACCAACCACAGGAAGGTTCAGGGAGGTTGGTACGGTACGGTGCAGTGTGATTTGGGTGGCGGTCAGAGAGACTACTGCCCCCATGACCCGGTAACGGGTAAGCGGATGAAAATGGATGGATGGATGGATGGATTATATTTCTGTTTGATTAGAGCAGTGGTTCTCAAACTGTGGTACGCGTACCACTGGAGCACTTTCTAATGGTATGCAGGGAAAATTCATATTTTCACATTTACATTTTCAATTGAATAAATCTGAAACATACCATGCACAACTAATACAACATTTAAACATAAACATCTTTCTAAACATTTCTAAACATCTCTCCTGTGGTGGAAGCTAACAGTGAAGGCCTATGCTGCTGTATTCTAATGTTGGTCATCATGGTGGTACTCAGAGAGATCAGTGTTTTTTCTCAGGTGGTACAATTTATTTTTTTATTTTTTTTAAGGAGAATCATTTCAATTATTAATTTAAAAAAATGTAAAAATAATAGTTGGTTTTATTAACACAGTTCAGACTTTAAAATAAAAAAAGTTTGAATACATCTGGATGTCAAACTGGTTCAGTTCAAATGTCTTGTTAGCAGTCATTAAAAATATTTTAATCAAAGTTTTCCTGATCCAGCCAGAACACTGTGCCAGTGTAAATTGACAGACCGCAGTTAGTAGACGTAACCACCAGTGGCAGCGGTGTAAATTAAATCAGGCAGATGCACACCGACACAAACTCTGGTCCATGGCCAACGCACTCAGACTTTTCAGTTCTTTTAACGAGGTTCACATTCGCTAACCTGCTAATTCTCTGAACGCTGCGTTTTTACGGCGTCGCACACTGAGATAGAGGTGACACAGTAATATTCTAGGCAGTGATATTGCAATAATAATTCTGGAACTGTTTGGAACACCGCCCTGGTTAATTGAAGCACTGAGGTGTTAAAAGCCTGGTGAGGGAGGAGGGTCAACCCCAGGGTAAACTCCACAGCCACAGTCACAGTCAGACAGACACGCCATCGCCTCTGGCTGCTCAGCAGGTTCTGCAAAACTTTTCTTCATACAAGTTGCAATGATGTCATCTGGAGCTGGCTTAATTGGTCAATTAGCGGCTGGGATTGTCTCATCCAAAAACAAGACGAAGCAAACAGGAAAGCCCGCCAGGCAAAAAATGGTCTTTGAATAATTAAAACCATAAAGAAATTAACCGAGAGTGGGAGAAGATAAAGAAATCTGAAGGAAAACACAAGGCATGAGGTAAACCTTGACAAGTTGCCAAGAGTTTTTTTTTGTGTCCCTCATTCGGGGCCAAGCAGAGCTTTAATTGTGTACCAGCCCGGGGCAATGCCCAAATTACACTGGACTTGGAAATGATGGCTTGATAGGATTTGGAAAGAAGCAGGAGAGAGGTGGTCGAGCCGAGTAATCTGGAGGGCGATGGGGTTCAGAGACAAGGCACAATCCGCGGACGTCTGGAAATCAGAGGGGGGGACACTTGATTAAACATCGCCCCCGTTTGAAGGACTGATGTCAGTGAGGGAAAGTGAAGGGTCCATTTTGTGCTAACGACAGGGGCTGTTTATAGTTTTGATGAACAGCAATCAGCATGACGGCGGTGGAGCTGTTACACTAATGCAGTTGCTGGAGGCCAGTGTTGCCTGCAGACAATGGGAACTCTAATGGTGGCTGGTACCAGGATGCTAATGTAATTACTGTCTTTTGGAAGATGGCGCTTTTGGCAGTTGTTCATTACTGATATTGTTGATCAACCACACGCAGGAGGCAATTCATGGTTGAGTGGTTTAAAGATCAGGCGTGCAAAATGATGAGTGTTGCACAAAAAAAAAAAAAAGCCCTGCAGGACACCGCGGTCTGACGCCCCTCTGTGTCGAGTGTTAGCGGCTGGGGGTAGGTTACATGCAGGACCAATAATGGGTGTGTATCTGAATTGACAAACAAAGCTTCTGCTTCTGCTGCTGCTTTTCTTAAGGCTCCATTAAAATGGCCCAAGACTCAAAGGGAAAAGCTAGCAATAGCAGACGATAACTTTAAAACAGGGGTGCTAAACTCAATAACTTGACGAGCTGAAAAAATTAAAATAACACGTCAACGTTTGGGGGGCAAACAAGATTAACAGTTATTCAGGTCCATTGCTGAGAATGCATCAATTTTTTCCATACAAAAATTCCAACGTGTTTCTTACACACGGGCAGAATTCGACCACTACATTTAACCGATCCGGTAAACATTAGTACGGACTTGACACAATAGAGGGTTTACTTAAAACAACCACATGCATGTTAAGCTCTGGTGGGCCATATAAAATGGGGTGGTGTGCCAGATTTGGGCCACGAGCCTTGAGTTAGGCTATAATCTATAAATAATCTATAACTTATTCTGCCGACACAAGTCCCTGACTCATACTAATGCTAAAAGAGCTCCATTCTTTATTTAGCTAACTATAGCTGTAAATGAATCAAATGTACTGCTAGCTAATAATTAGTTACCGTATTTTCCACCCTATGAGGCGCACTTAAAAGCCTTTCAGTTTCTCAAAACTCAACAGTGCGCCTTATGTCCCGGTACGCCTTACTGAGGCTTACTAAGCTCTAACCGATTTTATAAAGCCAAACCACACAGCGCATCACACATGATGTCACACAACTGAAGCACAGTGGGAGCCAACAATGACGTTTAACTCTGTTAATTAACAATTAGAAGTTGCTCAACAACAATTGTTACAGTATAGTTGTAACCCAAATCCGTGCAACGTCGCGTCGTGCCTCCAAACACCCGGGAACTCTAAGTTGTGTTTTTGAATTGTCGATGTATGGTGCGATACAGGACGACTCAGACGCATGGCTGTCGATTTTTTCGTGGTCAAGAACTCTTTTTATTTCTCCTTTTTTTTATCAATACAGGCACAATAGACACTCTCTCTGCAAAACAACATCCGCACTTCTGCACAGAACAGTGTCAAAACAACAATACGGTGACCATCCAGAACAAAAATAGTGACAACCGCCTGACTCTGGAGGGGCGAACAACAAAAACAGCGTCCTCCAACTTAGGTCACTACCCTTTTCCACAGATCTACGTCACTATTGATCTGCGACAATCACTGACTTTTTTGTTTCGCTTAATGCGCCTTATGTATGGAAATAGACCCGTTCATTGATATTGCACCTTACAATGCTTTATGCCTTATGATCCGAAAAATATGGTAATTGCTCATTTATAATTAGTTAATTTTAAAATACTAGGTTAAATACTGTAATGCATGGGTAGAATCACTGCTTATCACTTGTCTTTGCTCAAAAACAGTTGTCACATGTCACATGTTGTTATTTACGCACGCTGTTGGAAAGCCAATTTGTGGTAGAGTTCAGATGTCTGGCTGGCGTCCTCCCTTTACTGCACAGCAGTGAATGTAATGAACCGAGTTTGACGGTCTGATTTGAAAGCTGACGTACTGTTAGCTCTCAGGCCCAACAATCACATCTTAACAAATATTGATCATCTACACAACTGTTGGCTAACAGCTGGTTCAGACACCGCATGCGTAAACAGAGATTAGAACATTGGAACTCGTTCACTGCAAAGACAGGTGTGTGTGTGTGTGTGTGTGTTTGGCTTGGTCTTCTTCTCCAGCTCATGTGACAAAGCTGAACTCGTAAAATACATCTTCCGTCATTGAAGGAATACACATTTTTGCGAATAGCGGCATCGTAGTCAACGTGAGAGAGATTTTTGTCATTTCGTCACCAGTAATACCACTACAGTACTAATACTACTTTGTTCTTCTAAATGGATGTATAATAAACTGACAGGTACTTTTCGAAGTATAATGTGTCTTTTGTTTGGTCAACTAGCTCTAGCAAGCATACACCACATATATTAACCAGACCATGTGTCAAATCAAAGGCCCGTGGGCTGGATCTGGTCCTTCAAGTCATTTTTCTTCTGGCACTGCGACAAAAATATAGTTGGTGACCCCGGTATACAGTTGTAACCCAACATCTGAGGGCAACTGTCTAGCTCAGGCGTGGGCAAACCACGGCCCGGGGGGCTGGATAGTTTGGCTTTTAAATCTATGTCTAAATTATATTATTAATTTACATTATATTATTATTATGCTTGCATTTCACCAATAGATGGTGTAGAAAATGCTAAAAGCATTTTAGCATTTTAGCCTTTATGTTTGACTTTAACATGTCATTTAACATAGTTTATATGAACGCATGAACGAAGGATCTATCTGCCCCTGATTAAGGCCCACGAGCCAAAAAGTTTGCCCACACCTGGTCTAGCTGATGTGGGCCAGTCGCCTGGATTCATCTCTACAATATAAACCAAGGTCTGTTGCCTCGTAATATTGCGTACTGTGTACTCCTGTGTACTCCTGATTCACATCACACGTTCTCCATCTTACACCAGGAAATTGGCCATAAGTTGTAGCTCATTAGGAGCAGCCTGGTGAAAACCACTGCCCCTCAGACGCTCTTGTCGCGTCCAAAAACGTCTCAGAGAGGTAATAAAACCACTACGCATACACAACAGGAGTCCACGCGCCGGGGAAGACGAGCAGCGAGAGCAGCGACGTTAATGAGACAACGCAGTTTGTGTATCCGCGTTCAAAACGACAGAAATTAAAAATCTGTCACTCTCTGTTGGAGAAGGAGGTGTGATTCTTCCTCGACTCTTTTGACAGTTTTTAATGAAGCATATGTTTTGGTGTTTTTTATAAAATTACACATTTTGGAAAGAAAAACTATCATCAATAGCTGCAGCTGTTTCCTTGTTGTTGTTGCTGCTGGAGGTGCGACAGCAGTGAGAGACAGAATAATTACAGTCAATTTGCGCAATATTTTAATTAAAGATACGCTAATTAATACAGATAAAACTATTTAGTCTCTAGAAGTTTGTATGTGCTTGTACGTAAAAACGTTATGTGCAGCAAGAAACTGACGGCAGTTCTAAAATATCTTTATAAATTTCATTCTATTTGATGCAGTTACTTTTCAAATTCAATTAATCACGATTAATAATTATTTATTACTCATAATAAATAATAATCATGACTAATTAGCATTTTCCCAACATTTACCCAGTGAATGATAAAAAAAAGTATTTGTTCAGCCCTGCTGAAAACATAATTAATTGGTATATTTAATATATTAATCACAATTAATCACAGAGTAAATGACTATTTAACAACATACATGTATCCCTGTCCGTGTTCTTGTGAGCAGATATTGGACTATATTTACATCACAGGCTGTCACTCATCACCTGTCAACCATCTCAACATCAAACCACAGAAGAATTATAATAATAATAATATTTATATTCAAGGATAATACAACTGGCATGTATTTGTTTTTTCGATCCCAAAAGAACAATTAGTCTCTTCACTTCTCTGTACTCTCTAAACAAACCTGCAGAGTCGACGAGGTCCTTAGAAACACAATACTACTAAAAAACAAGCGACTGAAGCTCAGGGATCAGGAGTTTATTATAAGACACCTGAACGCTGCAGTAATTAGGCCTAAGACCCCAAGTGCCCTGGTTGCTATTTCAAATGTATTTCTGTACTATAAACAAACCTCCAGCAGGTGCAAGACACTAATTTCTAATGGGAACCCAGTCAGTCTGACGGGACACGGAGTACTGCCAGGAGACACAGTTCACAACTACACAGATGAAAAGTGTTACTGTGAGGTCATTTGTGTTGCAGAAGAACTACAAACTACATGATAGTACTTTTCATTTACTTTTAGTTTAAGTGGTCATCTCAGGCTCACAACTGACCATTGTTTTTTAGAAAATAAGAATTTAAAAAGTTACAAAACAAGTTAAGAAAGAAAACATACTGTAAGCCAGAAAGAATGTTGACCAACAAAGGCTACAGTCAGATTTAGACAAGATAAAAATTTAACTGACTGGTGGACGGATGCACGGATGGATAAATGGATGGATAGATAGATAGATGGATGGATGGATGGATGGATGGATGGATGGATGGATGATAGATAGATAGAACCCCTACTCTGTACTGTGAATCATCTTTTTTCTCTGTCTTTGCTTCACCCCCCCCAGCCCCCAGAAAAGGCCGTACTAAACAACAAAACCTAGAGCATCACTTTCCACTGGTCAACAAAACCCCACATTACACAGTCCGTCCAGGCTCAGCCTACCTTGTTGCCTCCGTCGTACATGGCCCAGCTGGCACTCCTCACCCCAAAGGCAGCCTGAGATTCCGAGGCGTCCAGACAAGTTACTGGATGGTCGTAGACGAAGTGCAGCGTCTGTGGATTCTCCTCTCGTGGACTTATCAGGTAAACAGCGTCTCCTGCCACCGCGGCCACCAGTGGGCACTGTTGTCCTCTGCCTGGCACCATAACTAGGCTCTGGACCTGTGAGTAGGTATAAAATCAACATAAAAAAAAAAAATACAATAACAAAAAAGAACCAAAATTCCTGTTTTGAACTGTTCTTTTTGCACAAATGGCAATCAAAGTCACTCTATTCTATTCTAAACCAATGTATGTATAAATGTATTTATACATGTAGCATGTATAACGTAATACTGGTGTAAATGACTGACACTCTTGCGTAGTTGAATCCGACAGGCGGTCCTCCAGTAGCCACGATCGTCAGCCGTGTCCAGACGAATTTCGGGTCCAGAAGACGAGCACAGGGCTGGGCTGTCAGGGCTCAGGGCAAAGGCCTGTACCCTCTCTGGGGTCTGGTAGTGGTGGATGGGCTGCTCCCCCGTCTCTGTGCTCCACACGTCCACACAGCCTGTGTCAGTGACATGCAGTCATTTAATCAGTGGATTAACTGTAACGTAGGTAAGAAGATTAAATGGCAAACATTTTGATGGTTAATTTTTTTTTCCCTTTTCTCAAAGTTCTGCTCCACTCAGTCAGATGTCATTTTTTAAAATATTTTTTATGGTTTTTATATAATTGTATATTATTAGTGACAAAATTACAAAAGAGACAACATTGTAGACCGGTGGTTCTGGAAAAACCAAGCCTTGAAAACCCAGTAGCTCTGTTAGTTTGCAGCAAACAGTGACTTAAACAATATATTCCATCACTGCACAATGACTTCAAGTAACGGGTTAAAAAAAGTATATATATAGATGTATATATTTAATAATATATTTATAAATGTATGTACTTAAAAAATATATATATAATCTATAATATATTTATTTAAATATACTGTATATATCTAATTTTTGCCCCTCCTTGAATCGCAACCTTAACGTGGTGAAGAGGTTTGAGTATCCGAATGAACCTAGGAGCTATGTTGTCGGGGGCTTAACGCCCCTGGTAGGGTCTCCCAAGGCAAACAGGTCCTAGGCGACGGATCAGGCAAATAGCGGTTCAAATCACCCCCTTGATGAAGAAAATAATTAATTCAAAGAGGTTCACGTCGCCCGGATTGACGTCACCGGGGCCCCACCCTGGAGCCAGGCCCGGGGTTGGGGCTCGCAGGCCCG